TTGCAGCATTCACCATATGCATAGCGAGCGATTTGCAGTATGTTTTATAGGGGAGCGAGGAGTGGTTAAGTAAGAATTGCTCAGGAGATAAATCTAGGGAGTAGGTTGTTACTTGAGCAATTATTAATTGTATTATCCTCCAGAAGGATTGGAGCATTGGGCAGTCACCATATATGTAAAAGTGTACAAGTCGCTTGGCTGCATCTCCAACAAGAGTCAGGGATACTAGGATCAAATCTATGGAGTAGAGAAGGAACTCTATACCATCTAGAGTATAGTTTGTAATTATTCTCTTGGGTCAAAACACATAAGGAACCTTTGTGAATATGGCAATATACATGGTCCCAATCAGCGGGGGTCAGGTTTAGTTTTTTCAAGCAGCAATTGTAAGTAGAAAATATAAATAAACAGCGCAAACATAGACCTCTATATCAAATCAATATACAAAGTGCAAACATATATAAAAAATTTAAATAAATAGTGAAGTCCATCAAAATTAATAAACACAAAATTCAAAAATAGTTTGTGCAAACAGAAATTTTCAAATTCTTCTTCTATTATAAAGAAACTTCCACCTTCCACCCGTGAAAACCAACATCAAATGCACTCACCAGATTAAGGTGAATGAAACGCCTTTTAGGAATTTATGGGATCCTAAACCCTCTTTGGTATCCACTCTATAGGAATCCTCACCTCCAGCATAGACTCCACCATCCAACCAGGGAGAAAAAAAAAACTCAGATAGTGTAATATTGCAAAACACCATTCATAAGTGAAATCAAGGATTAAGGCCACTCACATTATAATCGCTTTAAAAAGGCATATTTATTAAGACCAGCTTCTTTCCAGATGAACAGTAGATGTAAGGCAACCTCTCACAGAATCTCACATCACAGCTCCAGGTTACAGCAGAAGCTCCACAGAGACCACACATATACAGATCCCAAAAAATGGCCGCTGGAACGCACCGCTCAGCGTGCGCTCCACCACTCACCGGAAGTGACGTCAGACGTACGGGGTAGTAACCGGAAATGCGGAACTGGAGCTGTGATGTGAGATTCTGTGAGAGGTTGCCTTACATCTACTGTTCATCTGGAAAGAAGCTGGTCTTAATAAATATGCCTTTTTAAAGCGATTATAATGTGAGTGGCCTTAATCCTTGATTTCACTTATGAATAATGTGTTTTGCAATATTACACTATCTGAGTTTTTTTCTCCCTGGTTGGATGGTGGAGTCTATGCTGGAGGTGAGGATTCCTATAGAGTGGATACCAAAGAGGGTTTAGGATCCCATAAATTCCTAAAAGGCGTTTCATTCACCTTAATCTGGTGAGTGCATTTGATGTTGGTTTTCACGGGTGGAAGGTGGAAGTTTCTTTATAATAGAAGAAGAAATTGAAAATTTCTGTTTGCACAAACTATTTTTGAATTTTGTGTTTATTAATTTTGATGGACTTCACTATTTATTTAAATTTTTTATATATGTTTGCACTTTGTATATTGATTTGATATAGAGGTCTATGTTTGCGCTGTTTATTTATATTTTTTACAATTTGTGTTGATCACATTGCACAGCAGCAGGATAGAACCTATAGTAGGGTGTTTCACTAGGCGCAGGAAGAGTTTTTAGTTAATTGTAAGTAGAAGCCCACGTGTCACACATTAGTGTGCTTCCCATTGGGTGAGTGGGGTCTTTTCTGGAGATATATTTTCCTGAAAATAGTTGATCAGACACTCACAAATTTGGAGAGTCACGGATGGGTCCGTAAGAAGAAACGAGTCCAGTCGCCATATTTTGGGAGTGATTGGGACATCTGGGAAATATATGGTTATAGTAATGGGGTGATGGTCTGAAAGAATCATAGGTTCAATAGAGGCTGGCTTCAAAGTAGGGAGAAATCTTTGCGAGAGAAAGAGATAATCAATTCTAGAATAGTGGTTATGAGGTGCAGAAAAGATAGTGAAGTCTTTATCAGTTGGGTGTAGAGTGCGCCATGTATCATGTAAGAGGAGGTCTGTAAGTTCCAATCTGATCTGTTTCAGAGCTCAAAATGTTTTTGAAGATGTACCCATTGAAGTATCTTCCAAGGGGTTTAATGCCACATTAAAATCACCACCCAGGATCAGAATGCCTGATTGGAAAGTAGTTAGTGTTTTCGTAATTTTACAAAAGAAGCTGACTTACGCCATATTGGGGCTGTATACGTTAGCTAATGTGATTGGCCTGTTGTGGATGAGACCTTTAAGAAAGAGGAATCGACCTTCTGAGTCCTCGAGAGAATCAGTGACCATAAGCGTGAGTCTCTTGGAAGTTAAAATGGATTCACCTTCTGCATTCACCTCTGTATTGACTGCATGACATACTGTCGGGTACATTCCGTTGGAAAATTTAGGGATCTGGTCAGCACCGAAGTGAGTTAGTTTGCTGAATGAATATCACATCTGCTTGCACTACATTCTGCGCCGATGGGACTTTGGCCCGCTTTTTTTAACTTGGATCTTTTCCCCCTACCAGGGCCCCTCGGCCAGAATTAAATATCTAGGACATCAATCTGCTCATTTTCCAATACTGCGTGGCACCAGACAAGGCTGTCCCTTATCCCCTCTGCTTTTCGCTTTAGCTATAGAACCACTGGCCCTACTGATTAGGACCAATCCGGATGTCCACGGACTTGAGATAGGAGGCACCTCGCATAAATTGTGTTTATTTGCAGATGACATCCTACTTTTCCTCACCTCTCCCTTAACATCTACACCTACCCTTCTTCGCCTGCTAGATAGGCTTGGCTTGCTCTCTGGCCTTCAAGTTAATCCCCAGAAGTCACTGGCGCTCAATATTTCGCTCCCCCCTAATGAGCTCACCCATCTGAAACTGATACTGCCGTTCACATGGGAGCAAGGCCCCGTTCCCTTTTTGGGCATAAAATTCACCCCGCACATCTCTGGTCTCTATACCGCCAACTACATCCCTATGCTAGCTCATCTAACGGCACTTATGACTAAAAGGTCCTCCCTCCCACTAGCTTGGCTAGGCAGGATAGCAGTTGTGAAGATGTCGATCCTCCCCAAAATTCTTTATCTCTCCAGTGTTCTCCCTATCCCAATACCCGCCCACTACCTTCGTGCCTTGCAGTGCCGCATTTCCTCCTACATCTGGGGCAAAGTTTCGCCCACGTGTTCCTCGTTCTACTCTCTATCGATCCAAACTCTGTGGCAGACTGGGCCTCCCTGAAATCAGCAAGTATTACCAAGCGGCACATATGGCACAATTACCAAAGTATCATGCTACCTACGAAACCCCGCAGTGGGTTATTATTGAATCCATTGAGTGCAACCTCTTTTCTACAGCAAACCTTCTTTGGTTAAAACCCGTTGACTGCCGTAGGTTTACGAATCCCATTTCTTCTCACTTTTTGATCCTCTGGGATAAACTGAAGTCCCACTATCTCCTACAATCACCTCATAATCCACTCCTTTCATACCTCCGAAATCCAGCTTTTACCCAGCCTGGTCCTCACCACACGTCTTTATTCGTTTGTCCACAGCAGGTCTCACCCAGATCCGCCACTTCGTGGACAGGAATACATTTAGATCCTTTACCTTATTATGTGAGTCCCATAACCTCCAAACCTCTGAGCTATTCAGGTATCTGCAGTTGAAACATTTCTTCGCTCCGTACACAATGGATGCCAACCCAATATCCACTTTATCCCCTTTTGAGCGAGCATGCCACAAAGACCTCCATAGGCGGGGGGCCTCATATCTTATTTATACTCCCTGTTCATGACCTCAGCAGCATCATCATCACCCTCATACACATATAAATGGGAAGCGGACCTAATCCGGCGACTTGACCCTTCGGACTGGGACCTCCTTTGGTCCAATACCAAAGAGTCGTCACAAAACATTGTGGCTCTGAAGACCAATTACAAAGTCCTGACCCGCTGGTACCTAGTCCTAGAATTGCAAAATATACCCCTACCTACCCCTCAGCTTGCTTCAGAGGCTGTGCAGACCTGGGCACATTTTTTCATATATGGTGGGATTGCTCAACTGTCCGAGCTTTTTGGGTGGATGTTTTTAAAATAATATCCACACTTAGTGCCGTGAGCTTCCAACCGAATCCATTAGTTGCACTGCTCAACCTGCGACCACCGGACGTCACAAAAGCACATTTCAAACTCATTCTACAAGTCACCACTGGAGCCAAGCAGGTTATCGCTAAATCTTGGAAATCTCCCTCGCTAAGTACGATTGTAGTTATGAATAGGGTCACTCAAGCTATGATCCACGTGAAAATAGAAGCCACTATCTTAGATTCCATCCCCAAATTTAAGGAGATTTGGAACCCCTGGGTAGAACATTTCCGCCCACCCAATTTTGATGATTCACTTCTCAATCCATAACCCATGTCTCCAGCTGCAACGGTACCATTTCTCACTAACTTTACATTTTTCTTCCTCCTCTCCTCACCATTGAGCCGTACACCCCTTCATCCTCCCTTCCCTTCCCCCCCCCTTTTCTGTTAAGATCCTGTGTAATAACTTTGTCCTCCACTGCTTCCAGCCTCTGTGCCACTGCCTGCAAGTCAACGTGTAAATCAGCAATTGCTGCAGATAGAGTCTCTTAAACCACCTTCCGCCCGCCATATAGTACAATGACGGACGCAAGGTGGTTCTCTCGTTCTGATAAGACATCATATGACCTTCCATTCGCACCGTGCATGCGCAGCTCAGGGACCTTCGCAGCGCGGCGATCGCCGGTGCGCTGTGTGCCTCGGACACAGCAGATCACGGAAAGAGCTGAAGATGTCGGCTCGGTCATGTGAACAGCTGTGTTCAATTACAGCTGATCACATGTAAACACGGAAATGCCAGTTATCGGCATTTCTCATCTCTCAAGCTGTCACGCTGACAGCTCCAGAGGAGAGGAGAGCCTCTACTTTCCGTGGAGGGGACATGTACACTGATCATCAGGGCACTAATGATCAGTGTGCCCTGATGATCAATGTAGCCCCAGCAGTGCCACCTGTCAAAGTCCATCAGTGCCAGCAGTCAGTGCTCATCCATGCCACCTGCCAGTGCCCATCAGTGCCACATCAATGGCACATATCAGTGCATACCAGTGCACATCAATGCCACATATCAGTGCCCATCTGAGCTGTCTTTCAATGTAACCCATCAGTGCCAGTCAGTGCCACCTATCAATGCCAATCAGTGCCGCCTATCAGTGCCACCTATCAGTGCCAGTCAGTGTCGCCTATCATTGTCAGTCAGTGCCACCTATCAGTGCCAGTCAGTGCTGCCTAACAGTGCCAGTCAGTGCTGCCTAACAGTGCCAGTCCATGCCGCCTATCAGTGCCACCTATCAGTGCCATATATCAGTGTCATGTATCAGTGCTGCCTTTCAGTGACTATCAGTGATGCCTGTCAATGCCCATTAGTGCAACCTACCAGTGCCTCCTGATCAGTGCCCATCAGTGCCACCTATCAGTGTCCATCAGTGCAGCCTATCAGTGCCCATCACTGTAGCCTCATTAGAGCACATCAGTGAAGGAGAAAAATCACTTATTTACAAAACTGTATAAAAAAACTAAGAAAAAACTTTTTTTTTTCAAAATTTTCAGTAGTTTTTGGTTTGTTTAAAAAAAAATAAAAATCCCAAAGGTTATTAAATACCATCAAAAGAAATCTCTATCTGTCTCAAAATAATGACAAAACTTTCATATGGGTACAGTGTTGCATGACCACGCAATTGTCATTCAAATTGTGACAGTGCTGAAAGCTGGAAATTGGCCTGGGCAGGAAGGGGGTATAAGTGCCCTGTAGTCTAGTGGTTAATATCCATTGCCACTGCTTTAAGATCCCCCATAGTGAGAGGGTATCCTGCTGGTGGGTGTGCTGTGGCTGCTACAGCTGGGCTCCTGCTGCGAGAGCGGGATGCTCTGTGTGTGGAGTGGGAGGAGGCAGCAGGGGATGAGGCCACAGTGTACTCCAGGGTCTGGGACCGGAATAGCTCCGGTATACTGTGGCTGGGATGACCGCTCATTGGACGGGGGGACTGTGATCGTGGGGCCAGTCAGCCTTCCCCATATTACCTGCGGCTTTCCCTGCGTATATTGGATGCAGTGTCCTCCGTGTGTCGGAGCTCCGGGATTAGGCGTCCATCATCTTCTGGGCTCAAGCCACGCCCCCCCCACTCTTAATTAATAAAAATTGAAAACAGTTTTATATCTATCCAAAGTGTACAGCTAAATATTCTTGAAGAGCAGTGTGTCTCTAAGCTTAAATAAGCTAGAACTGACAATACCATGTAGACTGCACTGTTCAAATCCACCTACATCATGAAATTAACATGAAAAAAATGTAGTTTAAGTTGCATTAAGGCACTTATATTTTCATGTTAATTTCATGATATTTATGTAGGTGGATTTGAAGAACGTGCTCTATATGGTATTGTCAAAACCAATGAAATGCTTGCTATTCTTAGTCCGGCCATACATTAACTAATTTCCCCACCGTCAAAATACAATGATTACTGCCAGCTATAGCTACTGGAAGTGATTGAATGAAAAAAATATCAGGTTGGTTGTACTGAAATTGATCAATAGCTCAACTTCAGTACAACCAGCCTGCTCATATATGGATCAAAATTCTGCTGAACCAGTCGAATTTCAATCCACTGATGGCTAGGTTAAGTGTGATTAAGATTATACTGTAGTTAAAGGATATAAATTGTCAATGTGAACATTAGTGCATTTTTACTATATGAAAAAGGTTTATTGTTTTGACTTAAGTCACATGACTTTATGAACTTCACAGTTGTTGTCACACATGTAATTAGTTGTATCTAAAAAGGATGCAGATAGAGAAATCCTGTATGGAATTTTCTCTTACCCTCTTCTCAGACTTTTTACGTAAAATGATCCACAGATTCCAGGCTTGATTTCACCATCAAAATCTAGAATTTTGGGCAGAGGTAAGCAAGGTTCTGAACTAAGGTTGCTTGAATGTTTATATTTATGACTGGATGAGGAGGGAGTGATGAGGAGACACCACTGTTTCTTATCTCTATGGGAATAATTGGAGTCAGAAAGGGTTTGCAATCCTGCTCTACAGATCTTTCTCAATGAAAAATGGTCAGCCAGCAGAAATCAGATCAGCCAACCCTTCCATACCAAGATAGGACCATTAAAGACATAATGTAGAAAGAAAAAAGAAGAGAGGCGCCTCCTAAGTGCAATATTTTATTGTTTTCAATAAGCCACAAATAAGACAAACTCAAAATGATGAAGTAGTTAAAAAGCTCATCAGTAAGGTGATGTCTGAATCCGTGTCCTGCAGTGATCCACCTGATTGGGTTGGTGGTCCCTGTAGGCCTGTAGAATGAGCAGTCAGCTCTGAGCACATAGCCTTGCCTTCCTTTCTTTGATTGCCGAGCTGCCGCCTGTGTGACATCACGTCCACCAGGCTTGCAGTTCACGCTGGTCACAGACACTTCCGGTGCCCTGGGACTCCTTACCATCCACAGCGCTCTGCAGCATACAGATATGTCTTTTTTTTTAAATAATTCTTCTTTAAGAATGAAGCTTGAACACTCACACCTGGAGGAAAGGAGTGAGTTCAGTTGGATGCCTTCTTTAATCTACAATCTAATATCTGCTAATTAACAATACTAATATGTATAACTGCGCACTTTGCTTTGTCTGTATGTTTCAAGCACGTTTATATGAGTTAATAGTCATGAGAAATCACTCAATCCCTCCCATCTCAAATCATGTGAGTAAAGTTTTTAAAGAGCTCATAAATGTATTAGTTCTTTATACTGTAATATTTCTTGAATAAGACATTATTATAGGGAAGAACATTTCATTAAATATACATATTTGATATATATATTTCTAGATGTATTATACATACTTGCAAGATGGCAGCTACTGAAACGACTGAGATCAGATTAAACGTAAGCCAGACCCCCAAAGAAGCAGGGGGTGGAGGGCTGCTCTTTTAGGAGGCAAAAAAACCTCTTTTCTTCTGTAGAGCCACCAACCTTAGAAGTAGGCTAGCCTCTAATATACCTGATTCACCAAGAAAATTTATTCCAATTTTAGATCAAACTGGGTTTTATGCTTGTGGCAGGTGTATTCCTTGTAAAACAGTAGAAATAAAACAAGGAAAACTATCTATTTCAGGTCAAATGATACTAATAGGGAATACACAATTGACAAGTTAATTACTTGTCACAGTACTTACACCACCTATCTTCTGGAGTGTCCATGTGGGCTGAAATATATGGGCCACACCACTAGGAAGTTGGGTACCAGGATTGGTGAGCATATAAATACCGTATTTTCCGGCATATAAGACGACTGGGCGTATAAGATGACCCCCTACTTTTCCTGTCAAAATATAGGGTTTGGGCTGTACTCACCGTATAAGACTACCCCTCTTCCAGCCCTCCCTGTCTCCAAGACGATCTGAGCAGTACACAGGTATATGCCAAAATATACTGACTACTCCATCATACAGTTTTTTATTTTTTTTATTTTTAGTGTATACCATATAATTATGAGTCATCATTCAATCAACAGCTAAGGCAATTCAAATTTGAATCAAATTTTACATTGTAGGAAGCCTTTAATTTGAGCTTCATCCCCAGGTTCCTGCTTTCCAAACTGATTGCAGGGAAATCCGAGGATACGTAAACCTTTCTCAGCATATTTGGCATGAATTTCTACAAGCTGAGTGTAGTTTGCAGGTGTTTTTCCTCATTTAGATGCTACATTAACAATGATACAGACATAGCCCCTGTATTTCTCCAGGGAAACTACATTGCCATCGATGTCCGTAGCAGAGAATTCATAAATACTGGTAATCTTCGCATCCTTCCAGTCATCCACCTGAGCAAACATGGCTCGCCTGCTCAGCACTCCTGTCACAGCCGCTACTCGGGTGTAGCAGCAAGATGAGTATGCCCATGAAGATGTGTATCCCTGACGCTTCTGCGCATGTCACAGTTTCAGTCACGATCAATCGAGTATTCAACTGCTGCATCCAACCTTGCTGCCAAAAACCGTGACATGCGCAGAAGCGTCAGGGATACACATCTTCATGGGCATACTCATCTTGCCGCTACACCAGCTCGGAAGTCCCAGTACGGTAAGTTTCAGCACGACGCCCGGCGTATAAGACGACCTCCGACTTTTCAGAAGATTTCCATGGGTTAAAAAGTTGTCTTATACGCCGGAAAATACGGTAATATTAAAAAAGGTTTCCATAAACATAGCTTGTCTGATCACTCTAAGACACATCACAACAAATACTCCATTTTATTATCTTTCTGCCACATTAATAAAATTGATAGACACTGGAGGGACACTAATACGACACAGGCAGTGTCTAAGAATGAAACAAAGTTGATCTATGAATTAAACACCTTACTCCCTGTTGGTCTTAATGTAGATACAGATCTATATTGTTTTATATCTAAATAATAAAACATTTATTTCCACCTTTTTATTTTTTTCATATACAGTATATCTATACATATTATACATATTTTTTATATTTGAATAAAGTATGCTTATTTTTGTTACAATATTGCACATGCATCCATCTGATCAGCTATTAGTTTAATATAGGCATCTGTTAATTTTTTGTCCACTTGTCTTTTTTTGACCACAAGTCCACATTAAGGAGTCATGTCAGAGCTTACTGAGTTTCAAAGAGGGCAAATTATTGGTGCCCGCTTAGCTGGTGCCTCTGTGACTGAAGGTGCCGTATCACAACGTACAGTATCACAGGTTATGATGGCATATACAATTTCAAGGAAAATGTCATCTGATGAACATAAGCGGTCAACTGACCAAAACAGACAAAAGGACATTGCGCAGGTCTGGGACCGGAATATGAAAACAACTGCTGCAAAAGTGACTGCAGAGCTCAATCTCAGATTTCCAAAGCCTGTGTCCACAATAACCGTGCAGAGTGAACTACATAAGCAAAAGATTTACAGGCGAGGTGCAATTGCCAAAACACAAGTAATATTAACGCTCAGAAGAGCAGTGGTGAAACACCCTTAAATCATGGACTACTGGTCAATGGAAGACTGTAATATGGTCTGATGAATCAAGCTTCACACTGTTCCCAACCACAGGACATGTTTACGTGTGGCAAACACCATCCCATGCTTACGACCAGGACTGTCTTGTGCTAATGGTGGCCACGCAATCATGGTTTGGGCAGCTATATCTTGGTATTCTGCAGGCTCCATCATCACCTTGAAAGGTAGAGTCACAGCCAGTGACTATGTAAACATTTTGGCCTACC